TTCTAGTTCTAACTCAATTAATTAAAAATATAATACATTTAAAAAAAAACAACACTTTTCTTTAACTGCATTCAATGGGTGAACTGTGATAGTCATAACATTTTTTTTTTTTTTTCTATGAAAGACTTAATGTATCTACGAGAAATGTTTCTAGTTCTAACTCAATTAATTAAAAATATAATACATTTAAAAAAAAACAACACTTTTCTTTAACTGCATTCAATGGGTGAACTGTGATAGTCATAACATTTTAAATTGCCATAAATTTCTATAACTTATGTAAGATGCAAAGAGAATTAAAGGAGATAATTCTGACCCGGTAAAACCAAGCATTGGTCAGGGGTCAAAGTAATAGCCCCAATTCCCGGCTACCACCGTCGAGATTAAGTTAGAAGGCCGGTGCGCTGATGTCATCACTCTAGTAGAAATATATACATTTTTATAAAAACACGGAGCTCAATTTACGAGTGATAACCTACCAAACAGTATGTGACAAACTTTGTGACAACCTACCAAACAATATGTGACAACCTACCAAACACTATGTGACAACCAACCAAACCATATGTGACAACCTAACAAACACTACGTGACAACCTACGAAACACTATGTGACAACCTAACAAACAATATGTGACAACCTACCAAACAATATGTGTCAACCTACCAAACAATATGTGTCAACCTACCAAACAATATGTGACAACCTACCAAACACTATGTGACAACCTACCAAACAATATGTGTCAACCTAAAAAACACAATGCGACAATCTACCAAACACTATGTGGCAACCAGCCCCGTGGGTGAGGGTGGATGTCACACGCTGGAGACCTTTTAGAGTTGAAGAGCAGCAAAAGCGATCGTCTCACCGGTCGACTAAGCCTGAGATGGATCGACGGAGTAGAGAAGGACTTACCCCAGCTGGGAGCTTGCGCATGGAGCCATGGAAATCCATGGATCGATCCGAAGGGGCTTTGGTAAAGCAGGCCAGGGCCCTCTGTTTTGTAGTGCCACTGATGATGATGACTATATCTGCAAATTTTTATCATTTAGCTTGATCCAACTCATAACCATATTAAACCCAAATGAATTAATTACCACAGAGCACAGAGGAAAAATGTTGAAATAAAAAAAATAAATTACTGGAAAGGCTGGAAACCCATTCCGCTCTCCCATTCCCCCATTTCGATGTTGGATTCAATCATGTTTTTTGGGGGGTTTTTTTTTTGTTTTTTTTTACACACGTCCTTACAGAGTAACAGTGAATGTTCAGTAATTATTCCTACGGAAGATCCTTCGGAATACGGCCTTCCTCCATTCTCTTAACATGGCCGAACCCCTAAAGACGCCTCTAAAAAAAAAGTGGAGAGTATGCCGCACATTTTGTAATTTAGGGAGGACTGCGTTCACATTCTGCACGTTCCAGAGGTCTTGTGCCAGGCACTTTGTCCTGCCATCGCATGAGCAAAGGGCGCCTCAGACATCTTAGATGGGAGAGGTTGGGTTTCCGCTATGCAGCTTTATTTTAGGGGACAGACATATAATGTAGAAAACAACATGAGATAGATATGGCTTTTTTCTATGTGAGCATCAATCACGTTTATGATTGTAATGCCTTCCACGGTGTTTAGTTTCTCAGTGTGTGTAGTGCATGCAACATTGTGTAGTTTCTAAGAGTGTGTAGTGCATGCCTGCGGCATTGTGTAGTTTCCAAGAGTGTGTAGTACATGCCTGCAGCGTTGTTTATATTCTAAGAGTATGTAGTGCATGCATGCAACATTGTGTAGTTTCCAAGAGTGTGTAGTACATGCAACATTGTGTAGTTTCTAAGAGTGTGTAGTGCGTGCCTGCGGCATTGTGTAGTTTCCAAGAGTGTGTAGTACATGCCTGCAGCGTTGTTTATATTCTAAGAGTATGTAGTGTATGCATGCAACATTGTGTAGTTTCCAAGAGTGTGTAGTACATGCAACATTATGTAGTTTCTAAGAGTGTGTAGTGCATGCCTGCGGCATTGTGTAGTTTCCAAGAGTGTGTAGTGCATGCCTGAAGCGTTGTTTATATTCTAAGAGTATGTAGTGCATGCATGCAACATTGTGTAGTTTCTAAGAGTGTGTAGTACATGCAACATTGTGTAGTTTCTAAGAGTGTGTAGTGCATGCATGCAACATTGTGTAGTTTCTAAGAGTGTGTAGTGCATGCATGCAACATTGTGTAGTTTCTAAGGGTTTTACTCTTATTTTTTTCAGGCACAGTGTTTCACATTTTTTATTAGATTTAATTTGCGCTATTTTTCAGATTCAATCATTTGATGCAAACTTACACGAAAACGAAAGAATTTTTTTTATTGAGCACTCTCATTCTGGCAATTCTAGACGTACACATAGTTCTTATTTGGATGGCATATTAACAGTGGCGTAGCTAATAATAGTACCGCCCCTTCCGACCACGAATACGAACACCCCCCCCACACACTTTTTTTATAGAAAAATAGAAAAAATGCCCCTTAGGGTGGATGACGCCCTTCTATTGCCACTGCGTATAAATGAGTGAGATTTTTTTATATATTCTTTTAAAGCCAATGTTTTTCCTTTAGAGCAGAATTTTGCTTTCATTTACAAATTCCGAAAATTCCTTAAAAAATTATTTTCAAACCTTTTCAATGTATTTCATTTGAGAAACACTGGTCGCTGATACCACCTTTACCGAGCCATGTGGTTTGTGGGGAACTTCACACCAGCTTCAGATTGTTACAATCGGGGTAGGGAACAAAGACGTATGCTGCAGTTCTCTCGGGAAGTCAGAAACTGTTGGCTGTAAAAAAAAAAAAAAGCAACCGACATCGGTTTCCAACTTGCTGTCAACTTCCGGCCTCTAGCGATGGTAAAATAGGCTTTTTTTATTTTTTGGTTATCTAAGAGAGATGACAAAGAAATATACGTTTCTGTCCGGAAAATCTTATTTCAAAAGTAGTCTCTCTTTAATTACAATTGGCCATAGAAATGTGACTAAAATTGTAATGGCAATTGTACCAAAACTGCAACATTAAAAAAAATATTGACTTTGAAACGTGTTGGGATTTGTTTTAATGCACGCAGCAATCAATTAGTATCTGCAACAATATTTTTTAAATAATTCAAAGTTAATTTTGGTAATCGTGTTTTGTTTCCCTCCTTAAGTTTTAAGTTGACAGTAACAATTCTTGATAAATGCCGTTTGAACATCAATGAGCTGAAAGAATATTATGAAATTCATAATTTTAGAAAAGAAAAAAATACTCTTTTTATTTTTCTAAACTTTGAAAGAGCATAGGGTCTAATCAAATGAATATTCAAGCAAATTTACAAAAAAAAAATTCTCAAAATAAAATATTTGTGAATGAAGAATTTTTTTTATTTGGTTGCAACCGTTAAAATCACATATTTATAGTTATTTCACTTGAATGTTGGTAATTAAACTTTTGGACAAGTTTCTTCCCCAATCAAAGGAATGAGTCCACCAATCTTCAAAATAAAGAGCGTGAAATTGATGAGGCCTAATTCAAACATTATCACACATAATACCAGAAATACAAATCCTTCAAACAACCATTTTCCGAAATTAATATATATATTACTTTAAAGATATATTGTCATTTTTAAATTGTATTTAGAGGTTTTAAAAATAAATTGTGCAACAACCAAATGAGACTTCTTGTACTATTTTGTTATTTTATGTTTAGGCATTTAGAGCACTATTTCTCATATTAATTGCCAGATTGTTTCTATGATATTTTTATTTAATTTATATTTAGGTTTTATTTTATTTAACTAAAAAAAATGTATTGTAATTTTTTATTCCTTATCAAATATACAATTTAGGAATGATTCACGTCTTTAACAGTATTGCTATAATAATTAGATATCTTAATTAATTTTTTCTCATCCCGCTAATTGCTCTTTTATACTATTACTTAAATTGTTAGAATCAGAGTCGTCAAGTGACTTTTGGAAAGGCCCCTTTGCCACTTAGATCTATTAGTTTTTTGGCCCTGCATTTAAAGTTGATAGCTTAATTTTTTCAACATCAAAACTTTGGGCACCTTAAATATCCTGTCGATGCAAAGCGTTGTAGGGTCCGGCTCTGATTTAGACTTCACAATAAATTGTAAGTATGCAAATGTATGCTTTGCTCTTTATAGGTTACCACATCACTATTTTTCAAGTATGCTGTTTATCCACAACTGGTGTATCCACTGAGAAAGGGGTTAGTAGCTTCCCCCGGGGCTCAAAATTATATTCTTATGAATATGTGATCACGAATATCAAAATCTTGAATCTCCCAACCAAGATTAGCAACTCAAATTTACGTTTTTAAATGTATATTATAAGTAGGCCTATCCACAATTTTTTCGGACATAGACAATTTATATGACGGAGTTTTTTTTAAATAAAAATGTCTTTGTTTCTATGTCTTTCTCTCATACTCATTGCGTTTTGCCATTTTAACATATTTTTAATGTTAGTTTATTTTCATCGGTGTTGAACTTCTCGTGATTGCGATCATACAAGTTAAGATAAAGCAAGAAATGATAAATACTGAAATATCCGTTTCGTTTCCTTTCAAAGGATTTGTGTAGAATGTTTCTTTTTTTTTTTCCGAACTTCTTTACGCTGTCTGTAAATGTAAGACCGGTTGGAAACGCTGACCCCAACACCGAAAAAATACAATATTATCTGCAGCCTTTCACTAATTACTACTCTGTGAGGCCCCAAGTGCATTGTTCGTTTTTTCCCATCTAGTAAATTTGGGGACATTTTCAGAGTATAAACAACCGACATGTGTAATTTAAAGCATAGTATTAGCAGTATATCATGAGACTTAAAATTGATCATTATTTGTGACGTATTACCCTCAATTAACCATAGTCCATAGATTTCACAGAGGGTACAGCTTTTAAGTTTCATAAAAAAGTATGTATTAGAGGGCCAAAAAATCTGGCAAATAAATTGATTGTGTGGTGACGACTGACTAACCAGTCGCAGTGATGGATAAAGGAAAGTGAGACAACGTCAACCTCGTAAGTAACAAATATGTTATCTTTTGATAATAAAATATCGATGAAGCCTAACTATGTATGCTATTAATGTTAATTTAGACATTTATTGAAATAAGATCTGTAGCAAAGGTCAACTCCAACTTTGTCTTCGATTATAAAATTATTCGTCCAGCAGGAGTACCGTACTCGCACAGTCAATAATGCATTGTTGTCAATAATATATAAATAATATAAAATTAAGAGCGATAGTCCTATATATACTGCAATAGGTTTATAATTTGGCCTTGAAAAAGTCAGTGATATTAATATTCAGTAGTAGCACTGGGATTCAACCTGTTCGGACCATGTCAACCAGCCGGTTCGCAAGGTGCGGAACCAAATAATAGCTGTGCTACTACTACTGTACTATCTATAATCTATAGCAGGGGTCGGGAACCTTTTCGTCTGAGAGAGCCATGGACACCACATATTTTGAAAAGTAATTCTGTGAGAGCCATACATTCTGTTTAAAGGAAGTGGATGCGTACACCGAGGCGGTGTACCTAGCGAAACCATCCGCTTTGGCCTGCGTAAACCGCGGTGTACCTAGTGAAATAGTGGGCTTTGGCCTGGTACACCACTGCAAAAATGTACCATTGGCCTGGTTTTAAGCTATGCCTGTAAGAGAAGATCTTGTGTGGTCAAGTGGTTGAGTGCACGCCTGGCGATATTTTAGTTTTAGATCAATTCCAAGTAGGGGATCAAGTTTTGATTTTCTTCCCATTTTTATTTATATTTAAATTATCATGTTCATTTGCAACAGTAGTTTCATCAGCAGTTTTTTAAATATTTTGTTGCAATTTAAATATATGTTATATTCAGTATTCAGATTATTAAGTGTTTCAACAAGTTGTGCCGGCCTTTGACTTTAAAAATATGGGTAATATTAGTAACGAAGTGTCTACACGTCCGGTGCCGGACAAATAGTGCGCATGATATACGTCCGGCGGGCATGTCACGTGACTGCCGGACGACTAGTAGTTTTTATTATTCCGAACGAAGTGTCATTTTAGAAGGTCTTGTGTGGTAGAGTGGTCGCTTGACGATATTATATTTGTGGATCGATGCCCAGTATGGGATCGTGTTTTTTTAATTTAAATTATCATGTTCATCAGCAACAGCAGTTTTATGAGAGCTTTTAAAATATTTTTAGCAATTTAAACAAATTAAAATGAAATCTTTTACTGTTATTGGTTGCCTACTCCATACTGAATACTGGCCCCTAATTTATTTTATGGATTACTGGTACACAAACTGAAATAACGAACTAAACAAAAATGTTTACAAGCCACTTTCACTTCAGTTTTTTTCTATTATTTGCATACAAGATACTCAGTACATTACTTGGTAGAGAAATAGATTTTAAAATTAACCATAGTTTTGAACAATTCGCGGTCACGGGACAAGGACAAAATATCTCTCGCCACTTTGTTTCGGCGGTCTAGTGACTTGGTCGCCGGACAAATAGTGCTGGAGATATACGTCCGGCGCGCCGGACGTGTAGACACTGCCTATTAGTAATAAGACATAAGAAAACGAACTGAAAAGTTCTGAAAGCGCATGTATAGTGTATGTAACATGTATAAGAGAAACATTTTGAATACTAAGTGATATTTTATTGCATTTCATCATTCTTCGTGTAGTTGAATATTTACATTTTTCTTTTACGAACACCCAAAGAAAATACTAGTATATCAATAATATCATATGAATATTAATGTGCATGGTCAAATTTCAACCATCTTGCTTTCACTATGCATTGGCAAAATGTGCACACAATATCAACGGTTCATTCACAACCCTCAGGCTCACAGCAAATCTTTTGAAAAAAAAAAAGAAAGATTTTAGTAACTTAAAGCGCGGTAGCATACTGTATAGCAAAGTCATAAGTCTGCGTTTACCCTGTTCATGACAGAATTTGTTTCCAGATTGGCATGGCATGTGCTATTCTCAGGGTAAAACACGATGTTTTCTCAAGGACATGCGCATGAGACAGGATTTGCTCTATTTCAAAGTTTTTTATTGTTTTTTTTTTTTTGTTAAGAAATTAATCATTTTCGGGGGGGGGGGGGGTGTTCCAAAAAGGACGCCCCAACAACAAATTTCCTAATCATTTTCGGGGGGGGGGGGGTTGTCCACAAAGGACGTCCGCACAACAAACTTACCCGGAAGGGGGGGGGGGGTGCTGATGGCCGCCTACATTTTTTACTTAGGTGTAATGCCAATGTAAAACTAATTCAGTGATATTTAATTATTGTTAAAAGACTTTTAAAAATCACTGCATTGTTTCGTATTGATCATCATACTGTCTGTTGTTTTGTGTTGACAATCGCTTGATATGACAATGCCTTGGACAACTTGAACTTCACGACTTCATGATCAATGTATGTGATTCTCTTCCCTTAACTGCCATATTGTATTTTGATACACTGGCTTCCCATTCATTTTTTACACCATGCCTCGAGGATCAAATGCAATTTTATAATTATAATCCCCCCCCCCCCCAAAAAAAAAAAAAAAATTGGGGGGGGGAATAATTTTAAATTAGCTCCCCTTAGCTATACCTATTAAGATTCACAATCGTAGGATAAAACTTACTCCAATTAATAAATATATTTGTATTGCATTATATTGGGGGAAATAAAGTAACATGGTTAACTTCAAAAATAAATCATGGTTTAACATTACACCCCCAGCCCCCTCCCTTCCAATAAATAATAAGAAATGCTCTACAAGTACTTTGCCACATAAGTATAAGCGTAGAACTTACACAATATTATCCTCCCAAGGTACTAAACGATTTTTAAATAAATAGTTTTCAGTTTTAACAAGAGTACAACATTAAATCTACAAATACAGGTTAGGCCAAGAAGTTAAAGAATCGAAAAGACCATGGTTTTGCTACTTTAAATCGCTGCGGTGTACGCAGGCCACAGACAATGATTTAGCTAGGTACACCACCACGGTGTACGCAGGCAAAAGTCAATAGTTTCGCTAGGTACACCGCCGCGGTGTACGTAGCTAAATCATTGTCTGTGGCCTACGTACACAGCAGCGATTTAAAGTAGCAAAATTCAAGTAAAATCTGTGCATTTTGTGTAATTTCAACACTAAAAATGCAATAATTATGTCCTGAATTCTTTTTAATAACATTGTTATGCAGTTGCTAATCAATAATGAGTATATCTTACCATTAATGCAACTTTTTTTTTTATAATCAAACATTTGTCTGCGAGCCAGATGCAGCCATCAATAGAGTCACATCTGGCTCGCGAGCCATAGGTTCCCGACCCCTGATCTATAACTATAGTATAGATATACTATAGTGTAGTTATAGATAGAAGTAGAAGGTATTTTAAAAAGGATTTTTTGTGTTGTTGTTTTCATGGCTCATTGAAAGGAATATTTATGAATAATTATGTTTAAAATTATTAACACAACATAGCATTTACTGGTATTCTGCAGCAGGTTGCACAACTCAAAATGTAAGGCGGGCCTGTAATTGTAATAATGAATGATTTAATGAAAAACGTGTGAGGGCCGAAAGAAAATAGGACAGTGGGGGGAAAGCTGTTAAGAGAATAATAAAAAAGAAAATTCGGTTACTTTGCCCACAAAGTGGGTGCTGGAGGGGTGGTTTGTTGTGCAGGCCTGCTCTACAGTCTTTATCTAATGTCACAGTAAAATTGTTTAACAGGATTTTTAAATTTAAGATATTCTTTTGAAACTTGAGTGAGACGAAACTCCTTGATCCATGGGAAAAAAAGTATTGAATAAGCTTTACAGTAATCTGTGCTATTTCATGCCAAAAAAAAGTTTATAAATATCGGGGCATCCCAATCCAGAAATGATGGGAAGGTTTAGTGCAGTGACTTAAATTTAAATTATTTAAATGGATAACTAGGATTTCAGGTTTAACATGTAAGTTATTTTAGTACTATGACCATGTATTAAATATTTAGCTCAATAATTTTTTTTTAAATTCTAATCACAAAATATTTTGTTCAGGTGATAGTGTGTTGTGGTCAGCAGTCAGCAGTAGCAGTAAAGCTGACCATTGAATCAAGTAAGGAAGCTTGTCCATTCCACACACAGCACATTCAATGCTGTAGCTGTCTTCTTCAGCCATGGCTTTACCTGCTGACTATCACAGAACTGATGGTTGGTTTGACTGGGCTTATAAGGGTGTAGACCATTCCTTTCCTGGAAATGGTGGGCTTGAATGCAGAGATTTCCTAAGCATCTCTCAACGTTGCTGGGAGAGTTTGGGAGCCTCTGTGGTTGCACTCCTCGCTTTGATAGTAGCATATCCAAGGTTGCAGCTGCCTCGACCATGTTCGTGTGCATATCGTCGTAAACCGGAGCCCCTAGGAAAGAGGCTTCTCCTACTCCTGATGTGTTTGACGTTTGGGATTGAACTTGGGTTCAAGTTGGCCACTCGTCAGATGATCTGGATTGGAAATCCTTGTCACCTGGCAACCATGATGCAGGTTTGTTATTTTCTGTTATTTACTTCTGTCTTATAATACATTACAGATGGAAGTGTTTTTTTTTTATTGTTTAAAGAAGTTAAATTTCATTTCGTGAGGGGAAAATTGCTTTAAAAGCTTGTGACATATTTCTTTGCAGTCGATCGAGATCCAAAATTTTTTGAGCAAGCGTTTTATTAGTGAGGTGTTGTTTTTTTTAATGCTAACCCAACTTTTCTGCTTTCACCTTTCTACTCAAGTCTTAATTAAACATATACATATTTTCAAAACTTAACTTGAATCATGATCTATCTTTTTTAAATTTTAGTGTTCTTAAACATACCTTGTGTACCAAAGAAAAAATTTTTCAAGATATTGCGAGTCAACAACATTGAATTTTAAAATACTAATGTACTATGCTCAACTTAATGTCAGAAATAAAATGTTCAGATAATCAGAGGATAAAAATAATATTTGTGGCCATCCTTCACGCTGAGTCCCCTGTGCCTTTACACACTAATTACTTAGTGTAACTATTTCATATTATTAAGAGTACTGTAAGCATCTGGTTTGTTGTTATGCCAATATATTTATATTACAAATTAAATTCATGGCTCAAAGGAACAGATTAGACTTTGTCAACCGGTTGTCCCCATTTTTCACTGCTTTAGCCTTTTGGGCCTCATCCAGTTTAACAAGGGGTATAAAGCTTGTAGCACTTTTTACAATGTTAATGATAGATTGTTGTGGAGTGGTCACATGTCCTTCAGCTTTAGGGTCCTGCTAATAAGGGGTATATAGTTTGTAACACTTTTTACAATGTTAATGCTATATCAGGGGTTTGGAACCTATGGCTCATGTGGCTCTATTGATGGCTACATCTGGCTCGCAGACAAATGTTCGATTATAAAAAAAAAGTGGCATTAATGGTGAGAAATACTCATTATTGATTAGAAACAGCTTAACAATGTTATTAAAAAGAATTCAGAGACTTAATTATTGCATTTTTAGTGTTGAAATTACACAAAAATGCACACATATTACTTGAATTTTTACTTTTAAACACAATGTATGGCTCTCAGAGATTTACTTTTCAAAATATGTGCTGTCCATGGCTCTCTCAGACAAAAAGGTTCCCGACCCCTGTGCTAGATTGTTGTGGAGTGGTCAAATGTCCTTCAGCTTTAGGGTCCCGCTCATCCATAAATCTCACTCCTCTCTCAAACCATCTTCCAACAAAGCCATCACACGGTCTGCTTGTAAACAGTGCACTCAGCTCATGCTCACTTGCTTAAAATTGTGTCTTTCAAACAAAAAGAAGGATCAAGACTTTCATGTGATTGTATTTTTGCTAGTTGGGGCAAAGAAAACACTTTACTCTTGTAAAATACAGGAAGAGGTGCATAATCTAATAATGCTTAGTTGTACGACTCTATATAGAGTGGGTAAAGGGGGTACTTATGCTGTTTTATTGGAGTATTGGCTGTTAGTGGTGCCATATTAGTAAGGTATTTACATGTACTGACACCATTCTAATTTTAATTTTTTTTGTTCACTTGGTGCGCATTATGGGGGACATATTGTTTGGTGTGCTCTATAAAGGTTTTTTAGCAATCTTATGCACAAAAGAATTTTTGTTATGTAGATGGAGAGAGGGTTGGTGAGGGCTGAAACACATTTATTTACTTTCCAGGACTGTAATGAACATTTCCTTATTTCTTTTATTGAAGAACTGCCCTCCTTTGTTTATAAACACTTGGCCCCAGATGGATGAACAGGGGCAAAGAAATGAGTATTCCTGGTGTGTCATATAGGAATGCTAATGTTTTGAGGATTGGTAGCCATTAGGCACTTTCTCCTAGTTTGCATTTAACATAAAGATCTATAATACATAACCTTTTACGCAGTATCATGTGGCAAATGGAATATTTTTATCATAATATTATCACATATTTTGGTAATTTAAAAAAAAAATTGAAATCCCATGACTTAATGAGTCCCTTCGAGTCTTAAATGTAAACATTGTGGCTAATTCAGGAAGATGTCATTCCCTTCCTCTGTCATTTTAAACCAAATACTGAGAAACAGATGTATATCTGTATTTTTTTAAAAATGCCACGTTACTTGAAAACATGTGCAATGTAATCAAAGTAAATTTCTGTTAATTTATATCTATAAAAGCATCTTATATTATCATATTCTTGAAAGAGTGAGGTTAGTAACACATCTACATTTGACATAAAGACTGAACTACCTCTTACGGGAAAAGTAGAAAAGTTAGATATCTCAGATGACACCGACTAGCCAGAGATGAGGATGTTTAGACAGCCCACAGGACAGCACTGACCTGGCTATCACTTTTATCATTGCCTCTCACACCAACTAGCCAGAGATGAGCATGTTTAGACAGCCCACATGACAGCACTGACCCGGCTATCACTTTTATCATTGCCTCTCATTTTTCCCTGTAGCAACTGTCAGTAATTTCAGCAGGAACCTTTGCTCAATTTTCTTTTTAATCTTTTATTTTCTGAGCAATGTTCATGTTCCACTACTATGAATAGTTTGACCTATATAATAAATATTAACTAATGCAAGATTACAAGAACATGTCTTGACACTTCAGCAGGCAACTCCAATGAATGAATGAATGAATAAAGAAGTTGATATGTACAGGGGCTTAATTCCATAGTTATGAATAAATAATGGTATCGCATGACTTGATAACTCTTGGATGGGAAATGTTTCTTTATTGTTGGCGTGCTATCATTGTAAGAACATATATTTAAATGAAAGCCCACTACCTTTTAACAACATTTGGGGGGGGGGGGGGGGGGGTTAAAAAAGAAAGCCCCCCACCCCCCCCCCTGGTTTTTTTTTATTAAAGGATTTTTTTATCAAAGCTAGTTGACACTTGACATGATATTGAAAGGTCATGGTCACCTAATCTCTTGGTGTCCCAGTGATAACATTAAGGCACTCTGTTTTGTAACAGTACAAAAAGGTTTTCTTAATAGCTGAGAAAGCCACATTTTTCTTGTTTCTTACTTCTTCAGCCATTAGGTGGTCTCCTTGTTGTGTGTTAATCCTGTACTTTTCTGGATATTTGAAAACATTAAAGAGTGCCCATGTAAAAATAATAGTAGATTAAACAAAAGCTACTTCAGCATCAGTTTATTGAACTTGACCGATTCAGCTGCTGGGGAGTTGTCTGAATCAGACTACCCCAAGCCACTTTCCATGCTGCACCTACACTCATCAGTGGCACCCCAAAGGAGGGAAAGCATGATGCCAAATTTCAAAGAAACATGTCAAGGTGTGCTCCTGTTGCTTTTATGTTCTGGTATTGCTGGCGTTTGATCTCCAGCCTGTAGAACGTATGTTCATGTCTTGTGTCCACCCACTCCCAATTATGTCGCCTCAAGTATTTGATGGATGCATCATAATATAGTGGGCGCTGTTAGTTGTGATGTGCTGAAGAGCTATTTTCTTATTGCATTTATTAGTTACATAGTTCCCAACTGGGCACTGCACTATGCGCAGTTATCTCTACAGACTCGACAACAGAAGGGAACCTTTGTGCCGACAATGCGGACTCGAAGAGGAGACAGTAGCCCACTTGGTTGTCACGTGTCCGAATAGTGGGACGGGGGCCGACGGTAGGAATCCGGAGGCCTGCCTAAATGATCTCCTTTACGGGAGCGCCCAGCAGATGAGGCGCGCCGTGGAAATCGTGTTCAGGGTCCTAAGAGATTGAATCTCGACCCCTTTTGAGTATTGATCTTTATTAGTTACATAGTTCCCAAAAGTTTGACTTCCACACCTTGGTGATTGCACAAGTGTTGAATCTTTGCCTGCTGCCACACATGTTGTGCAAGTGTTGAATGTGGGCCTTCTGCACACATGTTGTATGAGTGTTGAATGTGGGCCTTCTGCCCCACATGTTGTATGAGTGTTGAATGTGGGCCTTCTGCCCCACATGTTGTACAAGTCTGATTTACCAAAACCTTAAACCACTTCCCAAACACCAAGTACACATACGTTTAATTTTCTTGAGTGGCCTGCCCACCAGATGTCTGGTTGATGGCTTGTTCTAATAGATTTATTTAACTATGATTATGATTTAGGCCTCTTAACAAAGCCATAAACCTTTTGCACCTTAAGCCTATATATATATTTGTACAACCTTATATTTATACAAATAGAAGATCATATGAGCATCTGGGAATCATAGAAAATGCAGGAATGAATTGAAAATCGTTGCTACATTTTCAAATTGTTTGATCAATAATTTAAAAGTTAATACATACTAAACATGATCTTTCTATGTATCAGTGATCAATAGATTTAGTGAAATCTTAGTGATTTAGATGAAATTAAAAAGGATAATTTGAAATGAATAAGTTATGATGATTTCAGTAAGAAGTGTTGCAACAAATATGATTAATCTGATGGGATGTGATCAAAAGAACAGAATATCTTTAACTATTTTTGTACTGAATTAATGGAAGTTAATTTGTTCCTTCAAGAACAGCCCCCACTGGCTCAGTGTACTCCAGCTGCCTCATGCCTACTCATTTCTAACATACTCTCAATTATACTCAACAAAATTAGACACCTTTATCTCCACAATAGTACTATCTATCTCTGTCACATTTCTTTATCTTATCACACCAGTAAGGAGTTTCTCCCTTAAACATTTTCATTGGTTATTGTTTCTCCACCTGGGTCCAAGAAGTTTCCTGTAAACCTCAGGTATCTGTGTGAAGCAGTCCTCTCATAAATCAAGTCAGTTCGTCTGAAAAATGAATACCTCTTTTTTTTTCTTTTTTTTTTTTTGTAATATGAAATACAAAATCATTTGGTTTTATTTATTTAAAATGTATGGCTATGTTTTAAATGTCAAATTGTATGGCAGAGGGTCACAGAGAAGTATGGTTGGCTTCAGGGCTCCTTGATCATGTCAATTCAAGAGTTACTTACCAACTACTTAAGGTGTTAAAAGCACATTTTGAGAAGCACTGCTGACAAGCATGATCAACCTGTGAGTGAGAGCTTGTAAGTTTGTATATTAACATCCAAGTGTTAGTTATCTTATTCTTGCCCTCCTGTTATAATCATATGATCAATTAATGGTAACTTTTTTTTTACCTTGATGCATTTCATTCATGAAATGAAAGACACTTCACTTGAGTCCACACGTCGTCACAGCACCGTCACAGCACCGTCACAGCACCGTCACAGCACCGTCACAGCACCGTCACAGCAGCGTCACAGCAGCGTCACAGCACCGTCACAGCACCGTCACAGCAGCGTCACAGCAGCGTCACAGCACCGTCACAGCAGCGTCACAGCAGCGTCACAGCAGCGTCACAGCAGCGTCACAGCAGCGTCACAGCATCGTCTCAGCATCGTCACAGCACCGTCACAGCACCGTCACAGCACCGTCACAGCACCGTCACAGCAGCGTCACAGCAGCGTCACAGCAGCGTCACAGCAGCGTCACAGCAGCGTCACAGCAGCGTCACAGCAGCGTCACAGCAGCGTCACAGCAGCGTCACAGCAGCGTCACAGCAGCATGTGTTCACCCAAAGGCTAACTAAGAAATTGAATACATTTGAAGTTTGCTCAGAAAGTGTAGCTACTGCCTTTCAACAAATAGAGTCATTACTGCTCTCTCCATGTCTAAGTTTGTTGTCATCCGCAGTGTATCTGTTGTGTGCCATGTATCTGTCACTGTCTTCAGTGTGTCCTATTTATATGAGTATGCAGTTTCTTCGGCATGCATAAGTCATAAATAATATAGGACACTTAAATCACAGCTTGAGAATGAAATGTTGATGTAAGTCTATAGCTGGATGTAAAATGTGTTTTTTGTCTTAAGAGGAATGACATAATATTGATTTCCATACCAGCTGTGGGTTGTCTTTCTATACAACTTGTGGGTATCATTTCTATGCAAGCTGTGGGTTGTCTTTCTATACAACTTGTGGGTATCATTTCTATTCAAGCTGTGGGTTGTCTTTCTATACAACTTGTGGGTATCATTTCTATGCAAGCTGTGGGTTGTCTTTCTATACAACTTGTGGGTATCATTTCTATGCAAGCTGTGGGTTGTCTTTCTATACAACTTGTGGGTATCATTTCTATGCAAGCTGTGGGTTGTCTTTCTATACAACTTGTGGGTATCATTTCTATGCAAGCTGTGGGTTGTCTTTCTATACAACTTGTGGGTATTAATTCAATGCAACCTGTGGGTTGTCTTTCTATACAAGCTTTTGGTTGTCTTTCTATATAACGTGTGGGTTGTCTTTCCATACAAGCTATGGGTTATTTATAATTAACTGAATAGTATGGGTTAAGATATGTATATTCAGTTAATTGTATGTGCTACAATATGTAATGAGCCAATTAAGCGGGAAATTGCAGGATGCATTATTACTATTACACATTGATCTTTGAGGCTTTTTTTTGTTAATGGATTCTGTCTCAATGATTGGTGAGATGAGTGAGTTAAATCACTGTGTATTAGATTTTTAGGATGATAAAGATTGGTACCTCACCTATTTCACCAATCAGCAGCTATATAACTCACCAAAAGACAAATAGCCATAGTGGACCAGGTCTCTCGTTTGTGCCCATTTGATACAGCCAGTTTAGTCTTTTAGAATTGAGTCTATTCCAGTTTATTCTGTTAATTTGAGTCTATTAAAAAAAAATTCTATTACAATTTTGTGTCAAATCTTGAGTTGTTTTATTGACTTATTTTTTTTTCCCTTGCTGTTCTCCTCAGATATTTATTCTAGCAGCCCCTCCAAGCCGGATTGTGACGGCAGCTTTCAGATTGCACATGCATATGCTGACAGGTGCTCCAATAGCCATCCTCTTCCCAGTCATCAACACCAGATTGGTCAGTGCTCAATGCTATTGATCTTCTTATTGAAATTTTTCTTACCACAATGTTCCCAGCGCCCTTGTACCCTATGATCAGAACCTTTAAAGAGTACCAAACACATCTCTGCATCGGCAAATGCAATGAGCTGTAATCATAACATTTTTTGGTAAAATTTCATTTCGAATTGTACTTTGTGGAAGGATGTGAGATTTATTGAAAATAACATAATCCAATGCTCAAAGTGGAACCTAAAGGACAATTAATAAAACATGACATTCACATAATTGTTACAAAACATTACATTCACATATTTGTTACAAAACATGACATTCACATATTTGTTACAAGGTTAATTTCAAGTTGTTTTTTTCCAATTTACTTCCTCTTTCACTATCAAAGCAATTTTTTGTAATGGTTCAGGACTGTTCAAAGGGACACATTGCAGCACTTGTTTCTTGAACCCAAATGTTTTAGGTAAAAATTATGTTACAGTTCTCTAATTACATGTGTAGAATTACAATCAACATGTTACAGTATTTCATGATATTAAACCATTGGGAGGAGTTTTTCCTCAAGCAAGAGGATAAAGTTAGCTAGTAATAAAGAGAAGCCCTAGCGTGTTTCTTTCTTGCTGGTGTATCAGTGACTGTTAATATGTTCCAGCTGCCATTTGAGACAGGAGTGTATTTCCTCCAGCACTTTCTGATGCTGATTATTCCCTTCTACCTGATGAAAACAGGGGGTAAGTCATAGAGTTACCCCGTCGTGCCCAAAATAAGATTAACATTATCTAAGTGTGTAGGATGAGTGCATTACGTACACCTTCAGTGTTTATATCAGGCGGCTATGAAAAATGAAAACGCCCACTAACCAGCCACACTAATGCATATATAGTAGCTCCGCTGCATGTTAGACTTTTGTTATGTTTATATGTTATGGGGCAATGGTTCTCAACCTGTGGGTCATGACACCCTCGAGGGGTCTGGGACAAATTTTCTGGGGGGGTTGACTGAGGTTTTCAGAAATTTAAAGAGGGGGTGGTATATTTAGATGTGCATTTTTCTTGATTTTGATTTTAAAATTTAAATATGATTTACTGGAATTGCACTAGTTTCTTATTGTTAGTATGTTATGACTACAGCTACATAATATATTTTTAATACTACGATCTATTTGTTAGATATCAAATAATTTCAATTTTAACATTTAATTTAAAATAGATATTCTTTTGCATTTTTTTAACACCGCACTCGGATCCACTATGTATTGTCTCAAAAATGCTTGACCATTTGTGAAGAAACTGCACTTGGCTCAGCGCTAGTGTGCAAGATGAGATGAGAATTACCTAAGTGTGTAAGATGAGTGCATTACACATGTATCGAAGTGCTGTCTCAAATTATTGCAGTTCCAACTCCTTGTGAAAAATATTTTTATAACATTTTTGGAAATTAGGACTTTGATTTAATTCTTCAAATTTGTTTAACTCCTTTTTTTTTCAGATTAAGATTCTGTTATTGATCCAAATAAATGGAAATGATTTTTTATTACATCTTACATATTCAATTTCAGAACATAAATAAATAAATATACTTAGCTAGACATTTTACACCTAGAGCAATTTGCACAATCTTCTCAAGATATTTCTCTAGTGTAAAAATCAGCCATCACATAGCATAAAACTTCACTCCTTTAGTGACAGTAATGACTTAATAAGTGATCATTTATGGGGGCTGATGCACACTGTTGTATAAGTGACATACTTTTCACAAAATTTTATAAATGAAGTGTGTGGGAACTGTTGTGTGCTGAGCTCTCTTCATCAATGAAAATGGGTCAATACTAGGTGACCATTGCTCTAAATTTTCTGTTCCAGATCCGTTTATACCAGAAAGACTTGGAGACTTCAGCTGGTCCATGATATCCTTTGGCTTCCTATTCATCTATCATTTCCTACCCCTTCAACTTGTGGCTTATGTAAGTAACTAAACATGACCTTTCATAGAATTGTAATACTCGTTTGTAAATTATTCATGACTTATTTACCGTCACAGATGGTGGTGAACTGAAAATAGCTTAGAGAAGAAAGCCTGTTTGAAATTCATTTTTATGAAATCTTATGATTTCTTCTTCTTTTTTTTTTCTGATCACAGTTGAGAATAAGTTAATATGCCTTACAATCAGTCTCTGAAATCTAAATTTTGGAACTTCACATTCAACTGACTGTTTAAAAAAAAAAAAAAAATTTAATATTTTTTTTTTTTTTTTTTTTTTATGATCACAGTTGAGAATAAGTTAATATGCCTTACAATCAGTCTCTGAAATCTAAATTTTGGAACTTCACATTCAACTGACTGTTTAAAAAAAAAAAAAAAAGTTAACATTTATGTGCTTTCGTCAGGCTTGTATGTAAAATTAAAGTTTACATCTTCCAATTGAAAATTGGGCCTCAAAATACAAACCTATAGTAGAAACAGACCTAAGGTTCTCACAAAAACAGACTTAAGGGTGTCTAAATCATTTTATTTTTCATTGTAAAATAGCACAGACACTTTTTGTTAATGAATTTTTACATCATGAAGCTTGTTTGCATTTTCCAACTAATTTTAGCCTAGATATTGAAATAATAAATTTTCATTATTTAGACTTGCCTTAATTTTTTTTTGGAAAATTTTTTTGGACATCTAGTTTGAGTAGTTTCATACATTAAATTAAAATGTAATAAATTTCCATACATTTCACTGATGCACTTGAGTTGAACTTATTCTCTTGATTCATAGTCTTTAGCCGATCAAAAATGTGTAAGTAGGATTTATATTTCCTGGTGTTTCAACACTGCTAAATGTATAAATTCTCTTTAACACCAGGCCTCACAAGTCAACTTGAATAACATGCTCTGCCCGGCTGTTTCCGATCCCTTCCATGGCAAATTTTATCGTCTGTTTGCCATATGCCACCAGTTTATCCTTATTCCAACCCTGGGCAAACTATTTGTGGTGCTGGCCAGGTCGTTCAACATTTTGCCTTACGATAACCCGCCCGATGCATCCAACATGGCCGATGTTCTCTGCTACGAGTCCAGGTACTGCGGCTACAACATGTGCTGCTCGTCCAGCGCCAGCCAAGCGGAGACGTGTCCAGACACGGGAGACAGCACAGAAAATGATAGTGGAATCACTGGCACCCTCAGCAGAAGCAACCCCCTTGGGCAGTTTGCGGGCTGCAGCTGTCTCTTCTGTAGCAGCCAGGCCGGGTGCTGTCGTGGTAAGGTGGACAACGCAGCCTACGATTACAGTAACAGTTGCGAAGGCAGAGGAGAGGGCCCCATGCCTTCAGTGATGCACATTGTCAACGGTAGGATTGTAGAAGGAAAGGTCAACAACGAGGACCCTGTGGTTGTAAAACGTGGAGTGGCAGCGGAGGTGAAAGTCAGCAATCACCCATCAGAAGCAAATCAGGATGAAGATGAGCAAGACAAAACACCCCCAGTATCAGACCTCAGTAAAAAGCGAAATGGGCACACAAAATCACATTGAGACTTTGAAGATTTCAGGGAATATTCTCGAAATGTTTCTACTAAATTTAATCTTTAACATATTTTTAAAAGGTAAACAAAAAAAATTATCCAGAATTTTCTTGCATCAAAGTCATAAAGTAATTTTAACTTATTCCAATTTTATGCAATTTATCTGTGGATTTTTATTTAGCATTTTTACATTGAAAAGATTTTATATTGGTATGAAATTTTTAGACTCCATGAATTAAAAGAAAACATTCCTGTGGTGCAATATCTGTATGCTGAGCAAATGTTGAGTAATTCTGAGGAGGAATATTTTCAGTCTCACAAAAACTGAGTCACTATATAAATTGTCTTAATTTAGTGCAGCCTCCCCATCTCATGCACTGGAAATCATCAGAGTAGTCAGTTGCCACATAGATGTAGGTCACAAACATGTTTGAAAAGACAGATATCCTTTCAGTAAAATATTTACATGTTATTTCATAAGTCCTTTGTGAATAAATGGTTTGATATATTTATTAACAGGGCAGGTAATAGTCCTGGTATGACCCGTAGCTCAAGCTTAGGAATTCTGTCATTTTGTTAACAAAAAAAAATGTGTATATTATTATTATTATTATTGCTGCATTCCTATAATTTTTGCATCAATGAAAATCTTGCTGCCCTAAAGAGTTAAGCTTGTGTACATCCATTCCAGTTGAAGTTGATTGGTTATTTTCTCAGTGTGGTGCACAAGTAGTGAATGGGCATGAATGACTAACAAGTTGCTACATCTAATTTCTAGATCTAATTTTTGTTTATTCCACCTACTTCTTCTTTTTTTTTTAACTATTACATTTCTTTATCTACAGAATTTCTAAAATTTCCTTATTAGCACTGCACCGAAATCTAAAGGTTATATTTCTATAACTCCCTCTCCACATTTCCTAAATTGAAAATTCACTAAAGAGCAATTTTCTCTATTCATTCTCATAGAATTCAAAATATTTCAGATCAGTATGAACTTTACTAGGCATTGAGTTAGTTTTGCTTTGCTAGAAACATACTAATCCTAATTGAGACAGATACAGTTACTTGTTTGTTGATGGAGAATAAGAATTATTCTGTGTCATGTGTGTGCATCAAAGGATGTGTGTACAGTTGATCTTGTAACAAGGTCACAGTCACTGATGTAGAACAATGCTGACTTACATTACTGGGAAACTTGAACAGTACTCCGTAAACTTGACAGTTGAGCTTGATCTACCCATCACAGTAGTCTGTATACATGACAGTTGACCTCTTCACATTATCCTCTCTCTTCCAACACTTGTTTGGAACCTGGCTGTGTCAAGTTCTGCTGTGCTTGTATGTGTTCAGTAGTGCAGTCAACATGGCAATTATAATGAAATCCTTGCCTTATCTTAGTTTGATGGATGGGGGAATAATTTGCATTTATTCATTTACTAAAACCAGTAACATTAAAAACAAAACATATGAAATTCTCAGATTTATTTATTGTAGATATGATTGTTCTCCTCATGGAGTTGCTGAACTGATCTTTTATTAAAATAAATATTGAAAGTTTAGTCATAGTTAATATTAAATTGACAGTGCTAGAAATCTGCATAAGTTCTGAAACTGTCCTTAGTTTATGCTGCATTTATTTTAACACTGAACTCAACCCTAATTTAAGCTACCTAGGCAGTAATATTCCTGGGTAATAACTATTGTAATATTATGAGGCAATGACTACTTTTAGTTACACCTATTGGTTATTTATTGATTTTACCAGCCACATTTATATTGGTTGTTATGACAGTATTAGACCACTTTGTGTTGCATGCATTCAGACCAATGGATGCTGGAGATGCGCTCTCATGTGTTGCACTAGAGAAATAGTAACACATTTAGAAAGCAGATGATTTGATTGTCTAGATTCAAGCCATTATACTTAAATTCAAGATTTGTTCCCGTCCTAAGCATGCAGAGTATTATTTATACCAGTAAACATTGTTTAACTAGTCAGGGGATCGTTATAAAAATACAAAAGTTTTGTTATTAGTTTGAAATACATTAAGTCACCTAAGTATATAGAAGTTGCATTTTCAATATCATAGTGGAATGACAACTTCCTAACTCTTAAGTTATCAACTTATCTACTAAATTAATTCCTTACTGTTGCATTTCTTTGATTAAATCGTGCAATATATCTAAAATATTGTTCCACAAAAGACATTTCAGATAGGTTTTTATTGTTGGTTACCAGCAACGTTGTCATGAGTTGTTTGCTGCATTCAAAATGTTCATATTTGGAGAGTGACGTTCAATGAACAGGAGTTTTCTCACTGTAATTTTTTTTTGCTGTAATATTGCTAATTTAAACTAAAATTTTCTTTCCATTATTAAGAAACAGTGAATAAAGATATTTTTTTTTAAGCAGAGTAAGACTGTGTTTTTCATATTGAATCAGTTCTGAGTTATTTTGAATTGAGTTTTCCTTTTGAGTGTCGATCTTCATTGACAATTTTAAAGAATGTTTCTTCATAGTTTTTTTTTTTCCCCACTGAGATTGATTGCTTTTAAAGTTGTTCAATCACTTAAAAGATATTTATTGAGTTGGAATGTAATGATAAAGTCCTAAGATTTCTTAACACAAATTGTATCAGCCACCCCTCGGCCTGGTTTAGTTGTACCATTATCATATCACCATGACAAACCAATGTCATAAATCCACTGAGATTGTCATCCTTTAACTTTAAACCAAGCACAAACAGAAATTGAAAACTATAGATTCCATACCTGCAAAAAACCCATTTGTTGATCAATAACTGAAGTTTTTCCTGTTGTAATGATTGTTTATTTCAATTGTAGGGCTAGTCTTAATTTATTTACATGTATCATCATGGAAGCTGCATTGTTGACATATTGCTATATGTATTATGGAAGCTGCAAGATTGTTGACATAGTTATATGTATCATCATGGAAGCTGCATGTTTGTTGAAATGAAAGCACAGTAGTATTGAGTGACCCAAATGTTATATGTATCAAAATAACAACTGAAATGTTAATGGAATATTGTGTGATATTATATATATTTATGATATTTAATTTTAAAAACTGTCCAAGAAGCTTGTGGTGGTCTAAGAAACTGCATAGAATGACCTCTGGGAGCCACAGTTTACGCCTGCTGCATCCCAGGAGGTGCAACTGGTGGGGAAAAATATTGACAATTTTTCCCCTAAACATTAAAAAAGCTTCGAAATATGACCCCTGTTGTTGTGACGGGCAGAATATGACCTAACACTTTACAAGTATTTTGATTAGTCAAGTTTTTTCAAACATCCTGATGTTTAATAAAATTCTGTTAAATGCCTAGCAGTTATTGCTTTAGTGTTATTATGTTCAGTATCTTCTTCCCACCTCATTTAACATTCTTTTAAAGAATGTAGTTTAAACATGTGGTTTATGGGGGGGGAATTTTTAAAATCCCATGCTAAGTTTGCTTCAGCCTCATCCTACTAACATTGATACATTATTTTGCTTTAATGTAAAAATCCATTTTACATACGTTTACCTTTGCTTCCTAGTTAACAATTTCTATACACATTGTTTAAAATAAATTTTTGCACTTTCAGAAAATTTAGCTGTTATTTTAATAAATTTATTGAATTCGTTTCTTTTTTTTTTAAAGTAAACTTTTAAATTTTATTTACCCGCTTTGTTTGTTGCTTAAAACTTATTATACTTTAAGACCACTGAAGTTTAACCTAATTTGAGTCTTTAAAACTAAAAGCTAGGGCATTGACATTATAGATACCTAAAATTAAAATCCAAATTTTTTAATTGTTCATAAAATAGATCCATAATTCATCAATGTGTCATTGTTTTTAATATGTTGGATTTAAATTACCATTTATTAAATTGTAGTTAAAATTAACAGGAAGTCTGCCTCCATTTTCATGGAGCTCAACAAATACTCTAATAATGCATGTAGACTTGGCCTATCTTATAATTAATTTTATGTGAATATTATGAAAGCTCTATTTGAAACAAGTCCTAACTACAACATTATAATTATCTTACTAAGACAGTTGAATTTGTTTATGTATAAATAATTTTCATTATTAATTTTGCCAAGTCGTATGACACCCCATACTTAAAGGTTTATATACATATTAGTGCTTTTTTTTTTTTTTTTTCAATTTCACAGCTATCAGTTTTTTCAGGCCAACATTTTAAATAATTGAACTTCTAACCTCTCTGTAACATGTTAATTTGTGAAACCAAATTTTAAAAAATTTTTTTTTTAAATAATAATTAAAATCACCCCATACTTAAAGGTTTATATACATATTAGTGCTTTTTTTTTTTTTTTCTCAATTTCACAGCTATCAGTTTGTTCAGGCCAACATTGTAAATAATTGAACTTCTAACCTCTCTGTAACATGTTAATATGTGAAACCACATTTTAAAAAATGTTATTTTGAAATAATAATTAAAAGCCTACCAGGCTCCTCCTCCCTTCTTATTTCTGAGCTTGGGATATCAATTTTTTCATGGAACTCAATAAATATTCTCTAATAATGAATATAGAATGGGCTTATCATATAAATATCTTTATGTGAATGTTATGAAAGCACTATTTGAAACAAGTTCTAACCTACAACGTATCTTACTTAGACAGTTAAATTTGTTTTAAGTATAAATACTTTTCATTAGTTATTCTGCCGACTCATATGACACCCCATAAGTCATTTCAAGGTTACGAGGTCCTTCCCTATTATTTCTGAGCTTGTAATGGCCCAATACTATCTTTGATCATGTTGCCATATTAGAGTAATTATCATGCTGTGTTGGAATATGTTAATCAGTGCAATACATTTTTTTTCTTGCCCACTCATCCATTAGATTTTATTTTTTTTTTGCACTTGAGATTGCCTAGATGCAACCAGTTGATTGTGTTCTTTGGAAATATTTTAGATGTGATATTTTACATGCTCGAATTGATTGAATTCCATAAAAATTACTATGAATTATTATGACTGACTGATTACTTCGTCATGCAGCAGATAGAATTCATGTTTAACTATATCTAAGGATGATTATAAAATTATTCAGCATCCAATATCCCAGGCTAAGATATGATAAAGAAAAATTATTTTATTTTGAACCTGTCTGACAAGATTTATTGCATAGAGTTTTACTGGAGCTATACAATTTTTTCATGTTTTTAAGTACTTTTTGTTAACTCCATTTTGTTGTATTTTAATATTATTATTTTTTAAATCTATTTTCATGATTGAATGAGAAACATTATTTGTTTAAAAAAATAATTTTTTAAACGAATTTCGTTTTGCCTGCTATTGCTAAAACTTATGAGCACACAATTTTAAAAATTGAGTTTGAACAATGAAAATGTTCAGCAACTTGATAATTTAGTAAATGTTGATTTGTTGGGATTTTACATTTTAAATATTATGTCTACTTATTTTTTTTAAAAATTGAAGCCAAGCGATTTGCATTTGCTTAGCACAGTGATGTCAAGTATAAAATGTTGGGAAATGACTGTGTATCAGAGGCGTAGTGAAGTGGGGGACAGATGTCCCCGGGCGCAAGCTATTTAGGGGCACCAAAATGTGCTTTGATATTATATTATTGGTAAAAATAAATGGTTTGAGAGTTTTAAAAAAAAAAGGGGGGGGGGTGCGCTTTAAATTGGATGTGTCTTTGGGCGCGAATCTTGTCCCCGGGCACCAAACACCCTTGCTGCGCCTCTGCTGTGTATTAATACATAATACATAGAGTTAACAAAAGTGAAATGACTGTGTATAATATATAGAGTTCAACAACGTGTTAATTATGCTTGCCCTGAGCTTTATATTTTTAATTGACTTTAACAACCACCACTGTTTATTTAATAGAATTATTTTATGTATTTCTTGCTCATTTGCATTTAAAAAAAACAACAACAACAAAAACATAACAACTTTGAACTACATTTTTTTTAGTGTAGTTTGTTTCACTTTTCACCTAAGTCAGTTTGAGCCAGTCAAATTTTTGCTGCATGCAGTTAATTTCTATTTTTCCCCCCCCTATGATTTTATTGTAGCTTATAAAATATATAGTCAAGTGGCTGTAGAACATTGATATTAAGAAATTCATTTAAAAATAACATTAATTGACATGATTATGTTCATTATTATTTACAATGCTTTTGATTTACCGGTATTTTAACTTATTCAGAACGTCTCAGACACAATCGGGGGGCAACAACCCCATGTATTACAGGATAACTTATCTTAGCGAGTTACCCCATAGTGTTATCTTCTTTGCTATCATGGAAGTATTTTTGTTGACATTTTATTTATGGGCTTTTCACAATGCCATTTTTAACAAATTAATGAATGTGTTCTATTTAATAGGTTAACTTGATTTTTTTTCTTAGTCACACCAGAATTGTTCATTTTTGAATTTTTTTGGATAAAGGAGCAAAAGAAAAGAATATTTATAAAACTGTTAAATCTGTTTATAGTTAAATAATTTTGTTTATTATATATATAAAATTAAAGTATAAATATATCCCTATATTAAGGGAAATAATTTCATTGAAGAAAATGCCATCTCTATCCTCTAAGCAAATCTGTAAGTTATTTAAAGAAGCTTGTTGTAAACTATTCCCAAATGTTGATTTAATTGAGACGATTTATTGGCAATCCAATGAAGGATAAGCACTTTTACTGTTACACCTCTTTCTTATGAAATGCCTTTAACTGTTATATTTTGTGTGTTTGTCAAAAGACAATAAACGGATGCCATGACATTGTTAGATTTTTGTTGTAAATTTTGGGAAATATTGCTTAGTAGAGACTCTTGAAATTATCTCCTGACATTTATCTCTTTTGTAACCAGGTCAAGATATCAAGAAAAAACAATTTTGTTATTTGACACATAACAATTTTATTATATCCTAAACCATTATGGACACTACTTTAAGACACAATTGTTGATTGTTAGGACATTATGGACATTACTTTAAGACACAATTGTTGATTGTTAGGACATTATGGACACTACTTTAAGACACAATTGTTGATTGTTAGGACATTATGGACACTACTTTAAGACACAATTGTTGATTGTTAGGACATTATGGACACTACTTTAAGACACAATTGTTGATTGTTAGGACATTATGGACACTACTTTAAGACACAATTGTTGATTGTTAGGACATTATGGACACTACTTTAAGACACAATTGTTGATTGTTAGGACATTATGGACACTACTTTAAGACACAATTGTTGATTGTTAGGACATTATGGACACTACTTTAAG